TTTGTTGTTTAGTGAGGAAACTTGCCAGTGGTCAGGGGTTCATGATTAAATATGTTAATTTTAACTTTATTTATTCCATTCTTTCTTATTTTTTAATAACATTAAGTTTGTGTTGAAATGACAACCCTAATTTTCAGTCAGTTGTAATATCTGCATACTGAATTGTGATCTTTTCTTTCTTGCATATATTTAAGCATTTATGTACAGTTGGCACCCACCCATAAGGAAAAACTAATTTATAACTACATGTACCATAGTTACTGATTAATTTCTACAAGGACAATTGAGAAACATTCAATAGATTATAGGCCTTTTTATTCTAAGCTAGTAATAGACTGATTTTTGGGATGAATTATTTTTTTTTAATAAATGGTCAGATCAATGGGATATTTCTCTTTATTTTAAATACTTGTGCTTGCACTGCAAAAGAATAGTGTTAAAGCTTTAGGTGAAATTGTGTTTTCTGTTGGCTATGCACAAGAACCACACACATTAAATGTGAATGTAGCTACTGTATTGCATTTCACAGTGTGACAAGGCAATGACGTGTGAGGATGAGAGGATGTGTCCTGTTCAGACAGCAGACTAACAACATAAAACATCAACAAAAACAGACTAGCATAACGTCGGACAAGATTTCCTTCACTCTATCAGAGCAGTCAGTCATTTTAAATGATCTGCACATTTGGTTGTTTCATTAAGAGGAAAAGATTAACTGAAGCTTTCTCTCTTATGAAAATACTCAGTTGGTACGTTCACACTGTCAGTGTTTGGGATTGACAACCGCATTTACTTACAGGTGTGAGTCTTGAAATGTTGTGTTCACACAGCAACTTAACAGTCTCGAATACTGTGTCTGTATGAACGTGCAACGGGAGTTAAGCCCGTATTCCTTACCAGTAACCATAGCGACAGCGACCAGTAATATCCAAGATCATGGTGACGTCCATTAAACTGAAAAGTCTTTTCACTTTTTGACATGACAAGAGTCCAATCGAGCCGCAAGTTCATCTGTAAAATCTTCATTAACCGACAGGCAGCTTTTATATTTCGGTGGAGAGCACAGAACTGACGGGAGAGGTTCCGGTGGAGAAAAACAGTGACAGGATCTAAAACTTTCAGGTGAAACATCTCCGTCACTGTTATGGTAGACACGCGTTTGTGCAGCAGAGCGGCTTTCTCTCGCACTGTATGACGTGACAGACAACTAGTTGTCCAGTCCTGTTCCGTTCACACAGCACGTGCTTTCTGAGAATGCGGTTGTGAGTCCTGAAAATTTACGGGTGTGAGTTCGATTACAGAATGTGGTTGTCACTCCCGTAAATAACCATATTGTGTGTGAGCGTAACCGTATTAAGGACTCAAATACAGGACTGACAACTGTATTCTGCTGCTGTGTGAACGTGGCCAGTAAGTCTATTAGGCCATGTTCAGTAACTTACAGTGACGGAGAAATGAGCTGTGTGTCATCTGAAAGTTTTAGATCCAGTCTCCACCAGAGCCGCTCCCATCAGTTTTGTGTTCTGCACACGACTCAAATGCCCCGCTCTCCACCCAAATATAAAAGCTGCTGTCGGTTAATGAAGATTTGACGTATGAACTCACGGCTCGATTGGACTCTTGTTGTTTTAGAAAGTGACAAGACTTTCAGTTTTATGGGCGTCGCCATCTTTGATATTATTTTGGTCACTGTTGCTATGGTTACTGATAAGAAGTGTGTTGTGAAGAAGTTGTCTGGTAAGAAGTTGTCTTGGCATTCATTGTGGACAGCAAAGTAAGAATTTCATTGCTCAGGGAAACTTGTTTTCCTCACTGGGCATATGACAATAAACGCTTTGAATCCTTGAATCCTTGAAATACAGGCTTGACTCCCATTGCACGTTCATACAGGCCACGTACACACTGCAAGTTTCAGAAGTGACAACCGCATTTAAATGCGGGAGTGAGTCCCGTAAATTATCATTCCATGTGTCTACGGAACACGACTCACTCCCAAAACTGCCAGTGTGTACGTGGCCACAGACAGTATTCGAGACGCTACTGTAAGCTGCTGTGTGAATGGGACATTTCGAGACTCATACCTGTAAGTAAATGCGGTTGTCAATCCCAAAAACTGACAATGTGAACATAGCCTAATGGTGCTTTTCCACTCCGTGGTACGACTCGGCTCGGCACGGCTCAGTACGGCACGGCACGGCTCGGGTTGCATTTCCACTGTAGTTTAGTACCGCTTTAGAGTGGGCGGGATTATTCACATGTCGTTATAGTTGCGCCGCCTCTATTGCCGTGACTCCTGAAAAACGTTTTCATTCCGTGTCGCCCCATCAAGCTCTCGCTGGATCCGCTCCTCTGCTATCAATGAGAAGAACGTTTGTACTTCCTCAACAGGGGGAACAGCCACTTTTTGGTTGTTAAAAAAAGGTGCGCTCATTCAAAACAGTTGCGTTCGATCCTTCGCTGCCTGTGCTGATTTAAATCTAGCGGTTCTGTTGTGTTTGTGTCGCAAGTTCAGTGACGCAGGTAGTGACGATTCTCTCCGGCCAATACGTGATCAGCAGAGTTTACACATCACGTTTTGGTAACGGTACGGTTCACTTGGAACCCCAACCGAGGTGGTACTAAAAAAGTACCTGGTACCAGGTACTGTACCCAGTGGAAAACCCCCCAAAAGTGAACCGTACCGAGCCGTACCATGCAGTGGAAAAACGCCATTAGTCAGGTAAGAGTACTGCTGCTCCAATCAGGTGTTTTTCCACCAGTGCCTAAAAACAAAGTTCTAAATTAGACAATTCTTCTTTTGCCACCATATCTTATTAACTTCTGTTTTGTATAAAAATGAACATCAAATTTAATGTGTGATGAAACCCCCATTTTTAGGATGAGTTCGTCCTCACCATAATTTTGAAACATGCTACTGAAGCTGCAGAGAGGATGAGGGCAGAGCACAACGATCTGCAATCCAGTCAGTTTTATTTCACGTTTATTGGTTTAATGGTACCAAGACCTTTCACAAATGTGCAGTTTCACTTAACAAATTGCACAAATACATTACACACAGTTTTGGAAGCTCATAATGCAATCCACAAACATACACCAGACATTTTAATGCATGTAATTTAAACTGTTTGCTTGTGAACTGCTTCCACAGGCATATATTGTTGCATGCTATCATTGTCTTTCATGATGTTCAATAAGTGTTTCATGACCCTTTAAAGGGGTCATATGATGCTTTTTTAAAGATCATTATTTTGTGTATTTGGTGTAACAGAATATGCTGACATGCTTTAATGTTCAAAAAGTGCTTTCTATTGATAATTGTTTAATTTCACAGGACATTTAAAATGCTTTCAGTCAGGTCAGTGACTATATGATCATGGTAGAATGGTTTTGCTGGCAAGAACTAGCTTGTTCTATTGCAATTCAATAATTGGTCTTCAAGCTAGACTTCTGTTAAGGAGCCAGACACGTTGTTTCATTTGCTTTGCTTCTGGGTCACCTTAATGCGGTTTTCTACTGGCAAATGCAACCAGCAGCGAACACCACAGGACACAATGACTTTACATACATTTCACATGTTATTCCATTTTAAGTAGCACCTGGAACTAGGGTTGGGTGTCGAGAACTGGTTACAAATTTCGATAAGACACATGGAATTTGATTCTGCTTAATATTTTCTGCGTTTTAATGTGATTTTAAACCATTTAAGCACAAGAAGGGAAAGAACTGTTTTGCGTGCCTCACGCACATCTGAAGCGCGAGCACAGAGAACCACAGTCAGGTTCCTGACTGCAGGTTCCTGGCCTGTGTCCATTCTCGAACTGTTCATTTCAACTGCAGAAAAGGTAGTTCTGGGCCGTAACTGACTTCTCTTTCACAATATGCACAAAATTACGTCAGTATATCCTTTTAAACACAGCCCTTTTTTTGTCTTAAGTGAATGTAAACAATGAGAAAGAAAATGCATGTGTAAAAGTATTTTTATCTGTGTATTTTATAGACAGCAGCCTAATAAATTGTAATGCCAGGCCAGCAGAGGGAGCCCTCGCCCGAGTATTGACTGTCACGCTCCCTCTGCTGCCTCGCTGGTGACTTCCTGTTTGGCAACCATAAGGCATGGCTTGCCCAAACACTCTCTGCGAAGTATTGCCAGTCTCACTGCCTTACCGAGCATTCTATTACCATTGCCTGTTGATTTTGTGTATGACTTCTTGCCCGTTTGATTCTACTTCTGATTATTGGATTTTCCCTCTGTTTTGGCTGCCGATTGGACTGATTGACTGTGTTTAGACTACTGCCTTTTTCTGACACTGATTCTGGATTGCCCTCTAAATAAACTTCTGCATATGGATTCTCACTCGGCTTCAGCCTCCTCGTTACAGAACACTTCGCCACCCATGAATCCAGCGGAAGTTTCGGAGCTACAAGCGGCGTTCGCCTATCAAAGCGAGGTACTCAAAGGCTACCAAAAACAACTTGAAAGCCTGCAGTCCACCAATGAATACTTGACACATTATATTCGTTCACTTCCTCCACCCATGCCACAAACGGTAAGCCTTGCTATGCCTGATAAATTTGATGGTTCAGCGGATAAATGTAGAGGTTTTATCCGACAAGTAGAAATTTATTTTGACCACCAGAAAGACAAGTTTGCTTCTGATAACCAGAAATGTGCTTTTTTGATGACACTCCTTACACTCCCTCTGGTTCCAGCAGCCCTTGAACAACTCAGAGAGGCAAAGATTTTTACTAAATTGGATTTAAGAAGTGCATACAACCTGATCCGGATCCATGAAGGGGATGAGTGGAAGACAGCCTTTCTCACCACTAGGGGGCACTACGAATACCTCGTTATGCCATATGGGCTAGCCAATGCTCCAGCTGTGTTCCAGTCATTCATTAATGAGATACTTCATGATCTGTTAGATCAATATGTGATAGCTTATATCGATGACATCTTAATCTATTCCAAGTCAGAAGCAGAGCACATCCAACACGTCAAGATGGTTCTTTCACGTCTCCTCGAGAATCAACTCTTTGTCAAGGCAGAGAAATGTGAGTTCCACGTTTCACAAACAACATTTCTGGGGTATAACATCAGCCATCAAGGGGTAGAAATGGACGAATCCAAAGTCAAGGCAGTCAGCGAATGGCCACAACCAACTACCATCAAGGAACTGCAGAGGTTCTTAGGATTTGCTAACTTTTACAGACGCTTCATCCGTGGCTACAGCTCCATTGCCTCCCCGCTGACTTCTCTCCTAAAAGGTAAACCGTCCAAACTGAAGTGGACAGAAGATGCAGCCAAGGCCTTCAATACCCTCAAGGTTAGCTTCACAACAGCACCCATATTACGACATCCAGACCCTATTCTCTCCTTTGTGGTCGAAGTGGACGCATCTGACAGTGGCATTGGAGCTGTACTCTCCCAGCGTCATGGACAACCTGGTAAATTATATCCATGTGCTTTCTTCTCAAGAAAACTCACGCAGGTAGAACGTAATTATGATGTGGGCAATAAGGAACTGTTATGTATGAAGGCTGCTATTGAAGAGTGGAGACACTGGTTAGAGGGGGCAGTCCATCCGTTCAAATGTGCTGCCTGTCATTAATATTAATCAAAGAACAAAAGAAAATCATACACTGATCTTAATTGAATATCTTTCATAACTTTAATGAGGATTAACCTATATTTTATTTATGAAAAGAAAACTATGCAGTTTTTAAACTTTAAAAAAAAAAAAGTTTCAATTTCTTTCTTTAATTTGTTCAATTGTTTATTTATGCTATTGCTAATTAATTTGTTTGTTCCTTTTTTATTACTGACTGTTTACTTGTCCTTAACAATTTAATGATTTAAATTTATATTAGTCTATTTGTTTTTGCTGTGGTATTTAAAACCATAGGCAAAAGTTCCTCTTGAAGGTGTTCTGTAGGATGCTGATTTTTGCTCATGTTATTCAGCTGCAACAGAATGCTTTGTAAGAAGACACAGAATAAATGTTTGACTTTATTTTTAAATTTTTTTAACCTTATTGGAATCAAAACTAGGAATCGATAAGAATCGGAATCAATAAAATTCAAACAATACCCAACCCTACCTGGAACATGTAGTCCATTCACTAAGCTCATTTAAGAACATTGGGCTTCACATGTTAAAAACCAGCTTTCGGTTCTGCCTTCACTCTACCCAACTGCTGTATTCCGGGAATGAGATGGAACATCAAAAAAGAGAGAAATCTATGAAAAGCCTCCCAAGGGTAGAGGTTGTTTCCTAGGCAACGTTTCATTGATTGGTTGCGCTGGAAAAGAGGCTCTAGGTTCTATGTGTGTGCGTGGTTATGAACAACATTGATGTGCTCTAAGAAATATGTTGTTGAGCACACAGTGCCGTCGCTAAGTTTTCGTTACCATTTCTCACTCCATTAAGAGCTGTTGATAGTTTTGAAAATCAGTGCGCAGTGTGTCAGTTTAGAACTCGAGTGCAGAATCCTTTTGAATCTTATTCTAACAGTGCATTTGAACATTTTTATGACTTTCAGTCAGGGGTTAAATTGGGATTTGCTATGTGGGGGGGCTCTATGGTATCGAGCTTTTATATATATATATATATATATATATATATGTGTGTGACTAATCATTAATACTTTCATTTCAAATTATTACATTTGATCTACAGTATAAATTCAATTATAATAATGTGATTATCTATACGTTATCAAACTAACTCATTTACACTGAAAAATACAACTGCATTAAATAATATTATGAGATTCTTTATAGTCATAATGGTGAAAACGTTGTTTGATGTTGCCTAGCTATACTGAACAAAATTATAAACGCAACACTTTGGTTTTTGCCCCCATTTTTCATGAGCTGAACTCAAAGATCTAAGACTTTTTCTATGTACACAAAAGCCATTGTCCACTTACTCTAAATGTAATAAAATCAGAATAATACTTGCATTTTGGTGTTTACATAGTTATTTTTGGTTACTGATGTTTTAATCATGTTACTTGTCTGGCGTTACTGAAGCGTTAATGACGAGTCTATGTGCCGGGGCTCAGCCCCGGAAGGCCCCGGCCCAATTTAAACCCTGCTTTCAGTGAAGTAATCTTCTATGATAAGCCAGTGCTAATCATCAGTCTTGTTTGTGTGGTCATTAAACTGGTAGCTGACATATGATCGCTGCAGTCAAAACAAGAAATATGAATCGTTCCTTGTGATCTTTTGAAGACTTTAGTTAGTTTATAGAAAATCCTAAATTTAGCAGGCAGCTTCAGTACACTTATTACAGGAGCTATCAACGGCTAAGTTCCTTGCTCAAGGGCACAATGGTGATGGTTCATGGATCTCTCAGAACAGGGTTTAAACATACAGCCTTTTGGTTACCAGTCCAGAGTTACAATGTCACACAATCCCTATTGTCTGCATGATGCCACTGCCATGTGTTATAAATCATTATGAAATTCATAGATATGGGGTCATTAATCTTAAAGCTCCTTAATACCTTTAATTTAAATGAAAAATGAAAAACAAGTGTCTGTCAATCAATTTTCTTGATCATAAAGTTAAATGAATATATTCAGAGCTACATTTATATATTTAAATGTATAAATACATATTCAGAGTTACACTGATATATTCAGATTTATAATTAGCCAATAAATTTTATTATATTTATGTTTTGATATTTTTTTATATGTACTCTATATTCAGATTTCATATAATTATTGTCTTGTGTCTATGTATACCATTGCATTAGAAATGATCAGTCTAACAGGCTACATTGCCAACACAAGTCATCTCCCTGATTAACTTCACTACGAACCCGTGACTGCTTTCATTGTATTCAGATGAGTTCCTCCACACATTTAAAGCGCAAGCCTCCCCACAAGCTTCACAGATCTCTGCTCATCTGTCCTCCTGAAGCTAAAGCTACTGGCTCCACCAAGTGCCTTGTGAAGATTTCACTGTCTCTCTAGAATCACTAATTGGAAAATGCTGCATGTCAAGTCAGATTGGCAAACTGTTGTCACATGACCAGAGGGTTTCACTGACAAAAAAAAATAAAATCAACCAATCATATAACAGCATACTTTTTCACATTTACAACTGCCTCTGTCTGTTTGTTAATTAGCAGGGGTGGAAAATTTGCAAAATGTATCAATCTGCTTCAATCTGTCTCAGGAGACACAGGGATCTGGTGCTACCATAAAAAAAGGACTGATAAGGCATCAAGTCAGGAATTGTTTGTGTAGTGGTTTGGTGATGTCTGGCAGGTTTCGTTTATAAGGCACCTCTCTGTTTGTGTGTCTGTGCATGTGTGTGTACATAACAGAATGTGAAAGGAGAAAAGGCAGACATCGATTTGTGTCCACTTGACTGCAGATCCCAGCCATCATAAAAAACGGTTATGGAGCACCACCTGCACACATTAAAGCAGAAAAACCAATAGCAGCGCTGTGCAGTTTAGTGGAATGGAACATTGTAATAAAAGAGCCATTGTGGGGGTCATCACTGGTGGTCTAGAAACTTTAAAACTCTAATAGTTTGGTCTGTAACTAAGAGCAAAGCTGAGATTAAATTGTTCCTATTTATCTTTATTTCTTACAGACATGCTCTTCTATGTGCAGTTGTTTAACACGATATTGCTGAATAATAAAACTTAAAAATTACAATTACAATTATATTTCAGTTTTGACACAATTATATTTTGTGTACAGCTAAACGCATAGCCTTTCAAAGTATATGCCATTTGATAGCATGTGTGAACACAGTCGAACGACACAGTATCATCTTTGTAGTGTCTGCTATTTTTCTCCAGAAGTTATGACCAGTTATGAGCTTGTGTGAGCTGAACATAAAAGAATATCAAACACTTAAATCAGACAAAAACTGATTAAAAAAAAAATGTCAACTCCTAAATCAGTGTTGGCCACTCGTAATTGTTTTAAATAGAATTGAAAGTTGCTACTTGAAATGAGCTGATGATGAAAGACATAATTTATCACAGAATTCAACATTACTTGAAAGGTTCATTCAAAAATGACAATTCTGTCATCATTTACTCAATCTCATGTCATACCAAACCCATACGACTATTTTCTTTATTGCTTTGTTGAAAAAACTCAGCTGACTTTCATTGTACAAACGTAAAATGGTGACAGAATTTAACTATATAACTATAAACTATGCCTTTAATGTTTTCCTGGTCATTCACAGAAGTATGTTTGTGTGTTGGCCATACATATCATTACAGTTTTCTTAGGCCACACCTAGGGCTGGACGATATGGCCAAAATGTATATCATGATATATTTCTTAATTTCGGTCAAAACGATATAATTCCGATATCGATTTGAACACTATTAAAAAAAGCCTCGTAAAAACTGCCAAGAATGCCCACAACAGATGTCTGTGCATACAAACTTATGAAAAATGAATTTGCCAAGTCCATGACACCACATATAAAACCATATAATATTTTAGAAAAAAAACAGCACAAATAAATTAATTTTCACCTTTTATTTGTATTTAGCCTTCATACAAACAAGAAATGTGAAATCACGGTCAAATAATCGTCTCAGACTTACCTAATTAATATTAATATCTTTAACTTCAAACTATAGGCTAACATACACTACCAGTCAAAAGTTTTTAAACAGTAAGATTTTTAATGGTTTTAAAGAACTCTCTTCTGCTCACCAAGCCTGCATTTATTTGATCCAAAATACAGCACAAACAGTAACATTTTGAAATATTTTTAATATTTAAAATAACGGTTTTCTATTTGAAAATATTTTAAAATGCAATTTATTAATGTGAGTTCAAAGCTATATTTTTAGCATAAATCCAGCGTCGACCTGTGTCTTATTTACAAAGGAATCCGTGGTTAAATGAAGCGAACAAACACTCAATGTTTTACTCACGTGAACTGAAACTTCATTAAAAAATAAAGTTCAACCACGCATTCCTAATATTTGAATCAGAAGGAAGGTTATGCAGCGACGGTCTTCTTCCACAACCAGGAACTGCACAATATTTTGTGACCTTCAATGGCATGTTTATTGCTTGGTTGCCACTTTCCCTACTATGTCATGCATGAATCAGTGGGCGGGGCTACAAAATTAGGCGTTGATATTCTTCTGTGGAGGCGGTGTTTAACAATAGGCACATTCCAGGATCTGACGCTCCCTGGGCCTGGTGTCAATAAAAGCTTTTATTTCATTAACAAGGACGTTTTCAGTTCTGAAACTTACAGGATATTCTTTTAGTACGATGATCTCTTATATATCAAAAGCTCAAGTAAAAGTTGATTTCTCAATTCATCCTTTTAAGTGAGATTACTTGAGATTTATGTGTTCATCAGCAAAGGTAAATTACAACATTTGCTAATCAAAAGGTAATTCAGCCATGCAGTCTTGGCCAGAAGATGATCCAAATATGACTTATGGTAATTCCATTTCTACTAGTGATAAATGTTGTTTTGTGAAGAAGGATCATTATTTCAAGTCCTTTTTTGTTGCTTGAAGATATTTGGAAGTTCATATCTACTGTATGTGAACTTTGTAAGTGCTGACAAAGGATAAAAAGGTTATTGCTCTTTTGTAGCTTCATTTGAGACCTAATCAAGTTGTGTATCATTTAAGTATTTTAAATTGTAATTCAAGTAACTTCACATCCACCCAGATAATTTGATCTTTTTAATTATTTATTTATTTTTTTAATCAACAGTTTCTAACTAGCAGGAATTATTGAGGCCTTATTAAGGCAAAAGAGTTAAACATTTATTGGCAAATTTTGACGTATACAAAATATACTTATGTAAAAGTATTGTATCAATATAAATAATATATTTCACATAAATATATATTTGAACGCATTTGCATGTCACTGACGCTAAGAAAGTTGCCCCCCATTCATGGGAAGTTACATGCTTTGTGGCCAGGTTAGATTTATCTTTGAATCCAAAATTTGGGATTTGTTTTTAATCTACAATGCTTTGAATGATTCTATGGACTGTTTGCAACTGAATTGTGCATGTAAAGTTTTGAGATTAGTCTGTTTTTTTTTTTTTTAATTATGGCAACAGTAAAGACAACCATCCACACTAATCTCCAAGAGAGAAAAAAAATCTATATATAATTTTGTATATATTATAGCATATGCTATATTATTTATACCATACATAAACATACTTCAGACAGTTCAGCAATAATACTGAATTACGTGATAAATGTTTGCAATCATAAAATCAATTAATCAAATTTGAGTTCAAATTTTGATCTCAGGAGAAAGATCTGAAAGCAAGTTTTTCATTCATGTAAGCGTTTCCATTTGGATATATATGCAATGCATTTGAGATTAATGTATGTGTGTGTATATCCATGTTTGAATAAATACAGAAACATTTTCATCAGAAGGTAGAACAGGGCTAATACCACACCATTTTGTTCAAATTAATTAGATAAATTGCTGTGCCACATTGTAGTGTTTCACATATGTAAATCAATCCAAGTATGCTGGAATTTTGATAAAGCCTCCATAAAGTTTAGTAGAGGATTGGTTCTTGCTATACAGCTTATGCTTGGTTTCCTGTTCTGAAGAGGAAAAAAGAAAGAAGGCAAAGATGGAAAAGTTTTCACTCTCCTCTGTAGCTCTGCACATTAGACAGAAGGAAAAAAACACGAGTGAAGAAACGACGGAGAGAGAGCGAGCAGAGGGAAGTGGAGCAAGTGTGTGTGTGCGCGTGATGAGAGAGGCATTTTGTGGCATCTGCTTTTGTCCGGTTCTCTCACTAGATGCTGCTAGCTTGCCCCTTTTGCTCTGCTTGCTGAGCTGAATTCTTTTTAAACCGTAGCTGTATGGTGGACAGTCAGACACACACTGTTCTGGTATTCTAGAAACATCTGCATTTTTACTCATTCCACCCAAAGTTCTTACCTCTAGAATATTTTGCATATTTCTCTAACTGTCAGTCTATCCTAGTCATTCTAGATCTGCATTAGAGAAGAAGAGAAGCTCCAGAGTAAATGTATTTTTAACAGATAGACTATGAAGTGTCTGTATAGCACTCCCCTAATGGTCTCAGAGAGCATTACCTGGTGCTGTGAAATATTGGCAGAAGAGAGATGGAGGGAGAGATTGTGTAGGGCATTCTCTGTAAGTAGTCTTTCTCTCCACCTTTTGGTATAAAGGGGGAACGGTGCTGAGAATGAGTGACTAGAATAATGAGCTTTGTACCCACCTGCACACATTTCTCTCTCTCACTGTCAGTGGCAAAGAAAAAAAATTGCATATGCTAATTTTAGGTTGTTTAGCTCAACATATATTTATTGATATATATGTTGATCTAAACAAGAATTTTCATTTTGAGATTAACTACCGAGGCTTGTTTTATTTTGGGGTGAACTATTAATCCTGTAAGGCTTGTTTTTTTTAACAGAATTTTTCTTAAATTAAGATTTTTTTTTAACCCCAGTGACCCCATTTGACTTTATCTTTCCTTGTTTTAAGCAATAAAGGCATTAAGCTTCTCAAGTAAATATATCTTACAATTTGATAATTTTACTAGAAAATAAGATGATAATACTGATTAGGTGTACAAGTTTCTTTCTCATTCCTCAGTTAATTTAGATCACAAATACACAAATTCCTCTGTTCTTTCCCACTTTTAATTCTGAGAATTTATCTTTCAATGTGAACCTGTTCTGCTCATTTCTACCAGTCAGTACTGAGAAGGAATCACATCATCGTTTAAAGGCATTACAGTTTAAGAACATGTGACACATCAGGAAACATTTCTAACTATTAACGGTTTTAAAAACAGTTGTGCTTCTTAAAATGTTTGTAGAAACTTTGAATACATTTTCTTTTTCGGAGTGACTGGTAGTGTATTATTAACTTAAATTGAAGGCTGTTTTTAACTCTTTACTGTATGAATTAAATATGAATTGATTATTTATTAAAAAAAACAAAAGTGATTAATTCGAGAGCAGTGAGTGATTTTCTCTGTCTTTTGTGATTTGATTAATGACACTCACAGCAGCAGGTTTGTTAGGCTGCTGTCACTTTAAGTCCAAATCATGGATGCAATGTACTGCCACACATCTGATTTTTACCCAACTGTTTATGTGAATGCTCCATATGTTGGGCATTTTGAGCGTGTGTATTTAACCATTCAAGCTTAATAAGATGTGAAAGAGAACTGAATTTTGGATCGCATGCTATCTTGGAAAATTTTAAATATTTAAATTTAA